GGCCGGATATGCGCGAAGCGGATGATGATGTGATGATTGCAGCTAGAGGGTCGATATTTGTGGATTCCAAGGATGGTGACGCCATCACAGGATCTGGGGACCTTATTGAGCCTATCTCTAGTGGTGCTATACTGGTGGAGGACATTGGAGGAGACCTCTTCGAGCTATGTTCTGGACGTGTGCACGGGAGGAGAGCTAATGAGAAATACTGTGTTCAAGTCGAGTAGGATTGGCCCTAGAAGACCTTGTAGCTGCCAAGCTTGTGGAAGGATAGGGAATTGTAAGCAGTTCTTCCTGTTTATTCCAGAATGCTGGAAGTAATTAGGGGTAAAATTGGCAAACTGATCCTATAGAAAGGGCCTACTTTACATATCAAGGATGGTTTCATATTAGCCCCGAATCACTGTGATGATTTCAATTAGTTATTGTAATTAGAAAATGTACCGTCTACAGAACATCGCATAATTTGTCATGTATTTCTCGTGACGTTTCAATTTCCTTGAAATTGGCGCTCCACAATTAGTAATCCCAAGATGATCAGCGGCTCGAGAACTCCATTCTCGTCGAACCCAAGTGCAATCCCAAGGCCCAGCGCTGTCCCCGCCGGTGATTCCGCGACAGCCCCCGCGCCGCGCTTCGGCTTGTGATGGCCCACTGCCAGTCCCTGCCAAGTACAAATGTGAGAATGGTTGGAAACGATCAGTCAGTCGCTCTCGCAATCACCAAGTCCAGCTCTCATCTGCTCAGACGTTGCCTTTGCCTGCCAAGAATCTGTGCGTAGCACTACATTTTCGTACCAGCGACCATGGCCGGCTCCAACAACGAAGTTAACGATCAGGCGTTTCACAGCAGGTCGAGGAGAAGCAGGTCGATGCTGTTGAATCTACTGAGAAGACTTCAGAGGTACTTCGATTTTCAGCACGACTTGAAAGCTATATTTGGTCTCACCCCGAGAATGATGTTAACAACGACTCTACTTCTGCAGGAAACAAAGAACTCGGTAAAGGAAAAATCGTCGACGGACGTCAAGCCCTCCGCAAACGCGGACCAGGACAAGGAGAAGAAGGATGACGAGACGACACCTGACAGTGACGTTGTTGAAGTCGAGGCTGAAAGGACTCTGAAGTGGTGCTTCTGCGGATGCGGTCCTTCCACTACCGAAACGACTGCCACCATCTCGACCAAAAGGAAGGCTGAGGCGTCGGAGGACGAGACAGGCGCAAGAGGTCTGCCTAGAAGCTGAAGCTTAGGTGGACCATGTGAAGCGAAGATACATACGAGATCCTTGAAAGGCTCAACAATTTCTGACATTTCTGACTTGTAAAATTAAACATATCATCCTTCCATGTGCGTTTGATATTCAACTTGCTTACTTGTACCAATACTTACAGAATTATTAATAACCAGCGCCAACTCATAAAAGACGAACGCATCTAATACATGTCAGTACGAAAATGCTCTACCTTCGAATAGACTCCAGGAGTTGACGAATCTGATCAAAGTGCAACCGCATGATGGACTCCTCCTGTGCAGTGTCCCTTGCTTGAACGTCCTGAACAAATAGTATACACCGCTTGACAGTGTTCAGCAACTCCTCTTCCCCTTGGAGATGTTTTCATGGTGATCAACTCCAGTTCTGGACAGGCTGCTTCATGAAGCTTTGGCTCTTTGGTGATTCCTCATCTGGAGGAGGAACTGATTGGGAAGAAAAGTCTCCACGGGCTCTCCTTAAGGAAGCAGCCTCGCTTTCCTGCTCTTTCCGCGCTCCAGCACATCATGCTCTAGCTTTGCAGCCATGGCAGCTGCTCGTTGCACGACGCTCTCAGGCACCTGCACACATTACCAAGGCCATGAGAAGAGGTCGTGGGAATAAAAGGACAATTACACAGCAGAAACCCATGTATGAACCTGCTTGCGCGTCAGCAATTATCACCTGAGCAAGGCGGGCTACATTCAGGCCAAAACTGCGACTGGCAACCCACGGACGAGCTTGTACAAGAAGGTGACCTGCTGGTCCGGCTTCGCTCTCTCTTTTCTTCTTCTGAGCAGATGCACAGGATCTGACAATTGTTTTGTCCGCTAGCAGAAATTGGTAATGCTGATGATGGAGGGGGAAATGGTGGAGTGGAGGCGAGGAAGGACATGTGGAAGCTACCCATCGCTCCAGGAAGCTCCTTTTCCAGCTGAGCGATTCGGGATAGTGTGTGACGAAGAGTGTGAGGCAGCGCACTTTGGATAAAAGGTACTGTGGATAGGGCAGAGGGGGAGAGTGGGAGGGGCAGTGGGGGATTCAATGGAAAACAGAGCGTGGCTTAGAAAAGCATCAGACAAGGCATGGAGGAGATTTCATAACGTGCCGAGAACACTTTGACAAGAACACTAGATAAGCTCACACACGGGATGGATGGGACGGGCTTACATGCAGGGTGGCATAAGCGATGGCAAACCCATCATGCGTACTGGTGCCGCGACCCAGCTCATCCACTATCACCAACGACCGACCCGTTGCCCGATGAAGGATCCAGAAGCTTCCCCAAGCTCCTCCAAGAAAAGAACGGACGTGCGGAGCACCAGGCTGTCATTGGCCGCTCCCATGCGCGTCAGAACCGAGTCCAATACGTGGAGGCGCGCTGAGTCAGCAGGCACGTAACACCCGATCTGAGCCATGATGCATATCAGCGCCACCTGGCGGATGTAACAGCTCTTGCCACCCATGTGGGACCAGTGATGACATGACACTTTCCCATCCGACATCAGCATAGTGTCATTCGGCACAAACTCGCTCCCCATAGTCACATCCAGCACAGGGTGCCTCCATTCGCTATAAGCACATTTGGGGCCCATCTTCGGGAAAAAACTCCGGCGAACATACCCTTAGAAGCAGAAACAGCAGCAAGCGCACACAAACAGTCCAGCTCAGCAAATGCCTTAACAGCTTGCTTAGCTCCACATGCCCCCCTCCCTCTGTCCTGAACCTTCCAACAGCTCCTGCCAAGCCCTCCCTGCTGCCGCCGCCGCAGCTTCCTTGCCAGCGCCAGCCTGTCCAATCCCGCGAGGACAGCTGGCGGGTGGTAACGTGTAACGCCTCCGGCCTTGCCGGCCTTGACAGCGCTGTGCTTGAGCCAATCAGAGGGGACTCGGAGGGCTGAGGGGACTTCGATGAGGTGAGTGGCACCGGAAACGGAGAAGAAGGAGAGGGAGGGGAGACGCAGTTGGGACGGATGGCCGGGAGGAGCGAGTTGAGCTGCCCTCTGCCTCACACACTGCTTCTCTGCATGTCCAGAGCTCTGGAAACTGCAGGGAAGGCTCCACTGCTTCTTCTTTCCTTTGTCATCCAGGACGCCTCGAACGTGGTGATTGCTGTCATATGCTTACGCTCTTGCTGTGCTGACTATGGTGGGATGGGGCCGCGCACACAATGAGGTTCACCTTGTCGCCACGGGCTGCAGCATCAGCGTTCACAGCACTCAACATGCGCCGGGCGTGGCGCACCACAGCTGGCGACGCTGCTGCCCGCAGCAGTCTCTGCAGCAGGGCCGACTTCACCTTAGGAGTATCGTTGCTGCTGTCAGGGTCAGTATCAGCAGCAGTGCTGGCGGTGGTGCTGGCGGTGGTGGTATAGGGGGGTCAGGGAGAAGGGAGCGCAGCTGCTGTGCTGCAGACGCCAGGGCTGAGAGCACTCGCACGAACTGAGGGCCATGTGCAGGGGGACGATAAAGGGGGTGGGTGATGGAGAAGCCTTGTGCATAGCAGACACGGGAATTAGGGTGCTTTGCTTCCTGCTTCAATTCAAACTGCCCTTGTTCTTTTAAACTTATGAACCCAGCACGCCTCACGCCCCGGCACGCCCCTCACACTCTCACCTCGTTGGGAGTGGCAGTCTTGTGCAGTATCCGCGTGACTCCCCTCCTCAACATCCCCTACCCGAGCCAGTGATCCCAGCACCTCCCCGCACCACCTCCCCCACTCCCCCTCCCCCTCCCCACCCGCCCCTCTGCTCGCCGCCCCTACCGCTCCCCCTCCGCGCCACTCCCAGGAAACGTACGAGACACGCCGGTCAAGGGGAGGAGAGCGAGGGGGAGGATGATAGGAGCTCTGCGACGGCCTCTTGGCGGAGGGTGATGTGGGGGAGGTGCGTGAGGGGGTGGGTGACCCAGTGGCGCATGAGTCGTCCCCCTGCCGCTGTGAGCGTGTGGTTGAGCAGCCAGAGGAGGGATCCGCGTGTGCTGCCGTCTGCACTATTGTGCATGATCTGTGACGTCCAGGGCGAAAACGGGGAGGAGGGGTGGGGAGGGGGGAAAGGAGTAGTCAATAGCGGGGCGCGCCTTGGTCCACGCGCGCGCCTTGGTCCACGCGCGCGCCTTGGTCCACGCGCACGCCTTGGTCCACGCGCGCGCTCTGGTTTACGCGTGCGCCTTGGTCCACGCGCACGCCTTGGTCCACGCGCACGCCTTGGTCCACGCGCACGCCTTGGTCCACGCGCACGCCTTTGTCCACGCACACGCCTTGGTCCACGCGCACGCCTCTTGTCCATGCGCGCGCCTATGGTCCAGGTGGGTAAGTGTTTCTGAGAATATCTAAAAGGGGGCTTTAAGGGGCTTTAAGGCTCACCTCGAGCTGCTCGAGAGCATTGGAGGAGAGAGTCATCTGGTGGCCGGTGCAGAGAGGACGAAAGCCGCCGCCCAGAGCGAGCACGTGGTGGAGGTTGAACTCCCTCAGATAGTCCCACAGCAGCAGCGGAGCGCTCTGAGCAGCACTGGTGGCATGGAGAGCACCGCCTCCACTGCTGGGTCTACCTCTTGCAGCTGCTCATCCTGTTGACGCTCCCTCTCCTGCTGCTCCTCCCTCTCCTTCTTCCTCTCTCCATTCCCATCCTCATGCCCCTTGCCTGCGTCCTCAGTACAAGCAGCCCCGTTTGGCATCGTCGCAAAGAACTCTGCAAGAGCTGCACGCACCCCACACATGCTGCTGCCGCTGCCTCTGCTGCTGCTCCTGCCGCCACCGCCCCCAGCCTTCCCAGGGCCTCCCCCAACCACGGCAGCAGCAGTGATCCCATCACCCCCTGCCGTGGTGACTCTTGGTGCGGGGTCTCGGCACGCAAGGTATGAGAGGAGCTGATGGTGGGAGCGGGGAGGGTCAGGGTGGGGGGGGGGATGGCGGAGGGGATGGGGTTGACGGGGGACGAGGGAAACGGGGAGAGGGGAGGCGGTAGGGGGAAGAGGTGAAAGTCAAGGGGGGAGGGCAGGACGGAAACGGGGAAACACAGAAGGGGGAAGGGGGAGCGAACTCTTCTGAAGCACTGATAGCAGGGAGGGCAGAGAGAACTCACCTTGTGCATGGCTGGCGAGATGGTTCCAGTAAGGACAATCTCAGTGGGGGCGAAGTGAGCGAGGTGGGTCTCCAGCTCTCCCGCAGCACGCCATCAGTGAAGCACCCCTGTGCCACGTCACCCGTTAAGTCGACTCAAAACACACCTCACCTTGTGAGTGGCTGGCGTAATGGTTCCAGTAAGAACGATCTCAGTGGGGGCGAAGTGAGCCGAGGTGGGTCTCCAGCTCTCCCCGCAGCACACCATCAGTGAAGCACCCCTGTGCCACGTCCCCTGTTGACGTCTCCACCACCGCCACCAGCCCTATCCGCACATCGCCCTCCGAACCTGCTCTCGAGCCTGCTCCCGAGCCTGCTCCCATGCCTGCTGCCGAGCCTGTTTCCCAGCCTTGAGACGAGTCCAGATCCGTGGTTGATGGGGAGAAGCCGGGAGAGGAAGCAGCAGCAGCAGTGCTACCACCAGCATCTCCCTTCCCTCCTTCCCTCTTCCCCTTCCCTCCCTCCCCCAACACTCTCCTCTGCTATACACACCAGGTAACTACTCAGCCGTCCCCCCATCCCCCCTCCCCCCTCCCCCATTCCCGGCCCCTTCACCCCACTCCCCCTTCCCCTCCCTCCCCTCCTTCCCCTCCCAGATCCTCCCCCGCTTCCAACGTTGCCCGCGTGTATAAAGCCGACAGATGCCGCCCGAACGGGCCGGCCTTGTTGCTCCCGTGGGCTTTAATGGCCGCCGTCTCGCTCTGCCGCACCACGCCCACCTTAAAGCCCGCCTCCACGAGCCGCCTCACGTGCACGTGCAGGCGGAACGTGGGGATCGACGCCGTCAGGAAAGCCCTGTCCACGTGGCAGTAGATGCCGAGAACCCGCGCCGCCACGTCAGCATCGGCCCCGAAAAACCGGAACTTGTAGCCGACCTCGACCAATAGCAAAACGTCCGGGTGGAGGCGTTTCAGCGCCACGACCTGCTCTTCTAACGGGGTGAGCTTTGTGCCTGGAAGGGGCAGGCTTATACCGGGGATGAAATCGCTACCCTCTTTGGTGGTGGTAGTGGGTGCGGGGTGTGGAGCGGAAGGATGAGAAACAACTCTCTCGGAAGGATGGGAGTCAAGCCTTTTGAGAAAGCTGGCTCGAATTGCCGAGAGTGGGGCGGCAGAGGTGGCTGTGGGAGCAGCAGCAGCAGCAGCAGCATGGGCAGCAGGTGCTGCTACAAGGGTCTTGCCCCTTTCTCCTTCCGCCAATTCCGTTCTCCCCCTTTTCAGTTACATCCTCCCATGTCCCTCCCCCTGCCCCTGCCCCCACCTCATCCTCCCCTTCAATTTCCCCCCTTCCCCTCTTTCTCCGCCTCTCTCCTTCCCCCCACTCGTCCTCCCCCATCGGTGCCCCCATTTCTTCTTCTTCTCCCCCATCCCCCTCATCCGCCCCTCCATCCGCCACTAATCTCCGCGCTGCCCGCCTTCCCCCCGCCCGCTTACGCTTGAACACAACTCCTCCGCCTTCCCCCTCCGCTTCTAGCTCATCCCCCTTCCCCTCCGCCTTCCCCTCCGCCACACCTTCCTTTCCGCCCCCACTCCCCCCCGGTTCTTCCCCGCTTCCTGTTCTCCGCCACCCCCGATCCTCCCCACGAGGCCCCGCGGCTCCCCCATTCTCAGTTTCCGCTTCCGCCGATCCGATCTCCTTCACCAATCCGCTATTGACACCGCCACCACCACGGCTACTACCGAAACCGCCGCCGCCGGCGGCGGGGGAGGCGCGCGGCGGGCGGAGGAGGGAGGACGGAGTGGTGACGCGGACGGCGACTGGCGGCTGTGATGGGGACGGGGTGTGGGAGGGGGAGGTGGGAAGCGGGGTTGGTTGCGCTGGGGACGGCTTGCGCGCGAAGAAGCGAGAGATGGTTGCCTGCTGCCGCTTCATGGCTGTTGCTGTCCCGTCAAGCGAAGGTAATGGTATGATTTGTAATTGTATTTGCTCCAAATGTGACAAGATGTTCAAAACCATGGGTGCTTGGTCTAGTGGTATGATTCTCGCTTCGGGTGCGAGAGGTCCCGAGTTCGATTCTCGGAGCTCCCCTAATAAATGTTTTTCTCTATGGGCTTTGTTTTTTGTTCGCGGCAGAGTTAACAGCGCAACTCCCCGCAACATTCCATGAGCGCATTTGATTGCACGACCCTGTATCAGTCCGCCCTACGCTCCCTATTTCACCCAGCTTAGCATCTTGCTGGAAACTCATCCAATGTTCGGGGCTCTGGGTACAGACCCCCATTGTCCTTACACACTTGTGACCGCGCTTGCACACGAGCGCAAAGAGGAAGCTCTCTGGCCGCTCGCGTTGCATTGAGGCGCGCGCTCCTTCGCACTTTGCACTCGCCTTCGCGCTTTGCACTCGCCTTCGCGCTTCGCCACTTCGCGCTCGCACACGCTGTAACGTTCCGGACAGTTGCACTCGCCGCACACGCCAGTGCTCGCTTCAACTGCTCGCGCGCTCACCTCCAGGCGCCTTGAATTCCAAGCCATCAGCGCAGCGCCATGGATTTGACGTCGCACATCCGCCTCGCCAACGGCACCTCCATTCCCCGCCTCGCCTGTGCACCCTTCCCCTATTTAATCCTCCGCCCTTCCCCTATTCAATCCTCTGCTTTCCCCCTATTCCATCCTCCCCCTTCCGCCTTTTCCCTCTCCAATCCTCCTCTTTCCTCCTTACGACTCTTTATTCCTTACTCTTCCGCCTCCCCCCTGTTCCATGCCCCATTCCTCCGTATTGCCTGCACCTTCCCCTTTCCTCGTCCTTCCATTCATTCCCCCCTTCCGCCTTCCCCCCATCCCCCCTTCCCCCCATCTGCCCTTCCCCCATTCCCCCGTTCCGCCCTTCCCCCCTTCCCCCATTCTGCCCTTCCCCTCTTCCCCCTTCCCCCATTCTGCCTTCCCCCCTTCCCCCCTTGCGCTCTTCTGTCTGTGCGTGCATGTGCATGCATGCGTGCACGTGCTTCCAGTGGGCACATTTAAGGCCAAAGGTGGGGAGGTGAAGGAGGCAGTCAAAGCAGCACTGGCAGCGGGATACAGGCACATAGGTGAGCCCATGGGTGGCCCGCCCGATATTTTGCTCGCTGTATCACCCCATTCGTTTCATCTAAAGGCTGTTATATATTCTTTTAATGCAGACACTGCATCAGTGTACAAGAACGAAGCGGAAGTCGGGGAGGCCATCAGAGAGTACGGCATTGCAAGGGAGGAGGTTTTTATCACCTCCAAAGCTTCGCCTTACGAGCATGGGTGAGGGTCATGCTGTGTGTAGGAATGTGCCCGTCAGTGCATACATGTGTGTGTGCTCAATCACACGCCTAGAGCGTGGACTGCGCATGTGATTGTGCACGTCAGTGCATACATGTGGACTGCATATCTTGGTGCATGCTTGTGCAGCACCTCCCTTACAGCCTGCTCTGCTCTCACCCACTCGCTCTCTCACTGCCTCACTCACTCACTCTCCCTCTCCCTCCCTCACACCAGTTTCCAGCAGGCTCTAGCGGCATGTGCGGCGTCCTTGGAGCGCCTGCAAACAGACTACCTGGTGAGTGTGCGTCGAGTGAGTGAGAAAGAGAGTGTAGGAGTAAGGTGGCGCGCATGAGTTTGAGTGAGTGAGTGAGTGAGAAAGAGAGTGTAGGAGTAAGGTGGCGCGCATGAGTTTGAGTGAGTGAGTGAGTGAGAAAGAGAATGTAGGAATAAGGTGACGTGCATGAGTTTGAGTGAGTGAGTGAGTGAGTGAGAAAGAGAGTGTAGGAGTAAGGTGACGCGCATGAGTTTGAGTGAGTGAGTGAGTGAGAAAGAGAGTGTAGGAGTAAGGTGACGCGCATGAGTTTGAGTGAGTGAGTGAGTGAGAAAGAGAGTGTAGGTGTAAGGTGACGCGCATGAGTTTGAGTGAGTGAGTGAGAAAGAGAGTGTAGGAGTAAGGTGACGCGCATGAGTTTGAGTGAGTGAGTGAGAAAGAGAGTGTAGGATTAAGGTGATGCGCATGAGTTTGAGTGAGTGAGTGAGTGAGAAAGAGAGTGAAGGAGTAAGGTGACGCGCATGAGTTTGAGTGAGTGAGTGAGAAAGAGAGTGTAGGAGTAAGGTGGCGCGCATGAGTTTGAGTGAGTGAGTGAGTGTGCGCATGTGCGGCGTCCTTGGAGCGCCTGCAAACAGACTACCTGGTGAGTGCGAGTGAGCTAGAGAGTCTCATGGTGCAAGGGTGTGTGAGTGAGTGAGAGAGTGTGCATGTGAGAGGTCAAGTGTGATTATGGAAGTGCGTGTGTGAGATGCTTACGGTGCCCACCTCCTTTCTCTTGCTCCACTCCACCGCTCGCACTCTCCCTATCAAGTGTGATTATGGAAGTGGGAGGGACAGTGAATCCCTCCCACTCCTGCTCCCATTACTCTCCTCCCTCCCTCACTCACCCTCCCTCCATGTGCATTGACAACCCTCCCGCCCCTCGTCCCTTCTTAGGACCTCTACCTGCTGCACTGGTGCGTACCCCTCACCTGCCCTCGCCCTGAATCCTCGCCCTCATCCCTCATCCTTGCCCTCTTTTCCCTAGTCTTTTCTTACCCTCGTTTTACTCTGCCCGTTGACCACTTACCTTCCCAACTCAGATCACTTCATCTGTCAGTGCACCCCTGTGTTCACTGCCATTCTCCTCTCCCTCCTCGCTCCTCCCTCCCTGCTCTCCTCTCTCTCTCCTCTCTCCTCACTCTTCCCTCCTCCCTCCTCTCCGCTCCTGTTCTCTCCCCTCTCCCCTCTCCCCTCTCCCCTCTCCCCTCTCCCCTCTCCTCTCTCCCCTCTCCCCTCCCCTTATCCCCAGGCCCGGAGTGGCAAAGCTAGATAGGTGAGTAATCAACCCCTTCTTACTCCACTTGCCCTCCTCTGTCGTTCCTGCTCTCCCTGCTCTTTGTTTCCGCTTGTACCCTCGAACCTTACTGTATTGAGGCGTCTCAGGACTCTGTTACCCCCCATTGACCTTCCTCCCACACGGCTCCCCGCCACCTGTCTTCCCAGGGCGTCTGAGAAGAATGCAGAGATTCGCCTGGAGTCTTGGCGCGCTCTGGAGCAACTTCAGAGGGAAGGTGGGGCGAGAGGGAGGAGCAAAGGGGAGTGGAGGGGTGTAGTGGAGACGGGGGTAGAAGGGGGTGGAGAGGGGTAGAGGGGCTGGGACGGTTTTTATAATTATTATTTTTCTTAGCACGTTATGGGCTTTTCCAGAATTTACATAACACGTGCCTTCCCTCCTCTTCCAGGTAAATGCCTCGCCATTGGAGTCAGCAACTTCACTGCCGCCCATCTCGACCACTTGATGACAAACTCTGCCACCCTGCCAGCTGTCAACCAGGTGGAGGTGCACCCGCTGCTGACTCAGCGGTCGCTGCGAGTCTACTGTGCTGAGCGTGGTATTTGTGTGGCAGCTTACTCACCCCTGGGGTGTGGCCAGGTGAGTCTCTGTTGTTATCAGGTGGGTCTCTGTTGCTACCAGGTGAGTTTCTGTTGCTGCCAGGTGGGTCTCTGTTGCTACCAGGTGAGTTTCTGTTGCTGCCAGGTGGTTGGCGTTTGAGCTGTGTGGCAGCGTCTGCACCTCTGTGGTGTGGTGACAAGTGGTGGCATTTGTGTGGAAATGTGCAGTTTGGATGCACTGTAGGTACCATGCAAGAGCAGATTGCTTACCTATTGCAATCAGCTGCTCAAGCAAATGTGCGTTTGCAAGTTGCTGCTCAATGTCTTACTCACTCGAGGTGCTTAGGATCACGTCAAGCATATGTGGCACATACTCCGGTGAACTATCTGTTTTTGCTATATTTTATTCGTGTATGTTCTCAGCTGTTACAGCAACCAACTGTGCAACAAGTGGCCAAGGAAGTTGAGCAGTCAGCTGCTCAAGTGCTGCTCAGGTGGAGCCTACAGCATGGAATGGGTATGTTTCGTGTTGTCGATGCGTTTCAAACTGCTTGGTGCTTCTCGTTCCATCCATTATCTGACAGTTAATTTTGCTGCACATTGACTGTCCAATACAACCCCCCTCTCCCTGCCGTCCTTGTCATATTCGTGGCCAGTTACAATACCCAAGTCTGTGAGCGCAAGCCGGATCGCAGAGAACGCTGACATATTCAATTTCTCATTGGACAAGGAAAAGATGGATGCATTGGATTCATTAGATGAAGGTCGCCATTTTTGCTGGTCACCCATTGGGATTGCATAGAATGGTAGAGCCCTTTCTTGTATGTGTTAGTAGCTAGCTAACTTCAGCACCTGGACTTCAAACGCGTACGGCAAATAATTTTGAGGGGAATGGAGGGACCACTTCGCTGGCGTACGTGGCCCGTACCACGCCAGCATCCCCTCGTTCATGAGCTGGCCAACTTCAAGGTTTCGTCTGCTTGGGTCCACGCACTGCCCCTGCTTGGCCCCTGTTTCCCCCAGTTCTTCGACCTTCACTTTCTCAGCCAATCAGCGTCACTGCTTTCGCATAACCTCTCTCACAATTGTTCCCAAATTCTTCAGCCAACATTTCTGCCAGTAATATACTTCATGTTGCTTCCTTCTCCTCCATAAAGTCACCGTCACCGTGTTGTCTGACCGTCTCGCGTTCCGTATTCCGTCAGAGCTTGTCGTTTCTTCGGCAGGGTCAGGTTGGCTTGCTAGTAGGCTGACATCTGTGAAGAAGGAATCATGCAGGCCCCTACGGTTGACGCGGATTACTTGAAGGAGATTGAGGCGGTCAGGCGAGACTTGCGATCGCTAATCGCAGAAAAGAGCTGCGCCCCGCTTATGCTCCGCTTGGCGTAAGACACTGGACTTCGTCGAATCTGTTTCAAACGGTCTATCGATTATTACGAGAGACAGCAATGCGATTGTGTTTTGTTCCTGCGCATGTGAATTGATTTTAGGTTTCATG